ATTGAGATATTATGTAATGCGCTAGAATAAAATTATTATTATTATCAAATTATTGAACCGTGATCCCCTGGGTAGTATATTACTGTAAAATTGTGCCAAACTGATAAATTCAAACTTAGCTAAAAAGWTCTCAGTTGTTCTGTCAGTGATTACGAAAAAAAATGAGCTTAATAGATTCCCTCAATGTCCAAGACGAAATAAGAAAGATTCTCGATGCTGGAGGATTCTTACGGGACGTGGAAAGGTATTTTAAAGAGAATTATCCTAACAAAAAGTATAACTTTTTCACGTGGTTGGTAATCTTAACGGAAGTTCAACAACAGCTACAACTATTGGACTAGGGGTGGGGTGATAGAGCGCAGATAATGATACCGGAAGTAAGAGCATTTTCGAGTGGTCACCCCTCCCCTACACGTGGTGTTTTGTCGTATGTCAGCAAGATTGTTATTTCTGATTCGTGATTCAGAAAACAGAAATGCGATTTCTGATTCGGGAAACGGAAATCCAAAATCCTAGATTCTCTCCTTCAAACTTGTATTTTCGCCTATGCAATATACCTAGVCAGTGCCGAAAAGTAAGTTTTCTGATTTCTGAAACAGGAATCTAAAATAACTCTTGTACAATTCCTGATTTCTGATTCCAATAATCAGGTTGGCCGCAAAGCTTCCTGATTCAATCCATTGTATTCCCACGCAGTAATCTAGACTAGAATGAGTATATGAGTTTCATTCATCAAGGAGAAAAGATGGATGAAAAAAAGCTTCCTAAAAAATAATCTCTTGCATCGATCCTAGACTTTGAATGCTTTGTGTGCGAACACAGTAAAAGGATGCAGGGAAAGTGGAATATCATTTAGAAGTCAAAAACCCTATTAATTTCAAAATACTTGGCAATTCTTATACATTTTAGGACAATCAGCGCTTCTTCCAGATGGCATTCTTTCTCAAGAAGAAACGCGGGTCCTAACAGACATGGTCAAACATCGCCACGATGGGCAACGAGAATACGGCGTCGTACGCACACCCAATAACGTCACGATAGCCATTGGTCACGTGATTTATGGCATCTGTGCTGGAGCAGCTCACAACAGAAGACAATCACTGGTTCGATGGGACAAAGACGCGGAAGATCCAGTTGACAATCTCTTTGCTGCTACCATCTCAGGGACCCTAACACGTACGGGCCTCGAGGCGAAAAACGACCCAAGTAGGGCCTATTTTGGACCAGGGGGCTCCTGGGAACCCAACCATTTGTGCCCAGAACGTTATCAAAGGAGTGCAGCCGTTAAATCAAACGCATCGGATGCTCAGATACTTGGAGACGTTGATGGATACTTATTGGGTTACAATATGAAGAAATGGAGCAGGAAAGGTGTTCGTTTAGGGCAACTGCCACGCATGTATTATTCAAGTGGAGTCTGTTATGATCGCTCGTTCGTCGAGTAAGTATTCTGTATCAACAAGACAGCCATGTTCATGAGGCACATGCCAAAATTCAAGTGCGTATCAAGGATTTTAAAACTAGACTGAGTTTATTGTCAATCACAACTCGGCAAGTACAGCTGTGGCGCAACTTGCTCAACGTCAACGGGGTCAAGCCGCAATGTGAAGGCGCGCTACGTGTGTACGTCCTTGCACTAAAGTGACAGTACCTTTTACAAGCATTTTCATTGCATAAAGAGTGTTTATTTTGCACTGCACTGCACTGCAAGGACCAACCAACTAAATATAACTTACATGAGTTCAGCCACCTCACTGCGGTTTTTGATATTCTGCGAACCAAGACATTCCAACGGCTTGTTGTGAAATTGGTTTTTCACTGCCAACAGTCAAGAACATAAAAGGTACAGACTGATTATTTTTGATTGACGGCAGCGAAAATCCAAATTTCAGCGTGCAGCTTGTAACTACCGAGTTCGCAGAATATTGGAAATCGCTTTAAAAACAAACAATTTTTTTCTCAGAGTATTTTCTCTCTAATTTCAACAGCTATCATCGATTGTCTAATATCAAAAGTTTAGTCAACAAACAATTTCTTTTTGAACAAGTTATTGTACTTGCTTTTTCCTATCACCACAAAAACCAAGCCAGATATACAAATGTGAAGAAAAGCGACATCGTTACGATAGCCACTGAAACAAGAGATGGATTCTTTGTATATTTAGGTACGTACCATCGGCGCGCGGGTCGTAAGTATTCCTTGTTCTGGACCCCCAGCAAGGATGCACTGATGGTTTTATATCATACGCTCTTATTGGGTATTATTTGATGCATTCGTACACGCATTATGATTCCTCTATAAGGTCGCATAATATGCAACAGAGCTCGAGTAGGCTGTGAAATGATAAACCATCTTATTGGCTACTATTTTTAAATTAAAATGTATTCGTACACGCATTATGATTGCTCTTCTATGAGGTCGCATAATATGCAACAGAGCTCGCGTAGTCTGTCAATGATAAACCATGCAACACATTGAATCAGAATAAGATATCTGCAAACTGATGAGCAGTGATTGAATTTAAAATAAGGCTATTCTGAATGAATTGACTTTATTATTTCGTAACGGAATGCATTCCAAGGCCATCCACCACTCCACCAGCCCATACAGTCAAACAGCTAGAAAAGCAATAGAAAAAATATTGTTTTCCTACAAACGTCACCACTTCAATAAAATATAATGAACGATCCATGAATTGAATTAAGGTGAAATCTTATTTATTTCAGAAAAAATAGCTAAAGACACTGCTTGCGGAGATAAGGCTTCAAGACAAGGTTAGTAAAAAAGCTATTTCGATATCAAACTGGTCTGATTAATTCATGTATTCTCTTCTTTATGAAGTTCGAATTTCTGTGTATCGAATGAACCATCATAACATTTGCATGCATATACAGCTTGACTTTATTTATTTTAGGATGTGAGTTGCCAGCGAATATGGTATTTGTTATGGATGAATCTGCAAGTATAGGAAAAGCAAACTATTCAATAGAGAAGAATTTTGTCAAGTATGTTATCTCTAACTTTCCATCCATCCATCCATCCATCCATCCATTTATCCAACCATCCATCTCTTAATCCATACATCCATTTATTCACCCGACCACCCATCCATCCATCTATCCATCCATCTATCCATCCAATCATTTATCCATTTATCCATCCATTTATCCAACCATTCATCCATCTATCCATCCAATCATCAAGTTATCCACCCACCTATCCAACCATCCACCTATACATCCATTTATCCATCATTTAAGGTAACTGCCTACTTTTGAATGTTTAATTTGAGCCCACAACATGTGTGCACCAAAAGTGCTGAATGACAGACTGCTGTCAATGACAATCATACACATTTTGAACTTTAAGAGGGAAAAACCCTCAAATTTTAAATGGGACCACTAAAGACTTTTTGTTATTAAGACTTTTTGAGAGCACTGAAAGAATTAAACATAATGAATTAATGAATTTCTTTGTCTTTTTGTAAAACATATCCATGTGTTATTTGTTTTATTGTAGAATGATTCACTAGCTGGCATTTGTGCAATCCTAGAGTCTGCAAAGAACTATTATCTTATTAATTTTAATTTTTTTCTGATCGCTTCTGTTGCCACAATTTTTGCTTCAAAAACTTGCAAGCAGGCATCCATTAAGTGCTGATTATCTTGAAAACAAGCTCAGGACACCCCATTTTTTTCATATTTGGAATCAGAATTAAGTTTCACTTTCAAAAATCGTAGTTAAAAAAAGGAGGTTATATTTTTTTCCAAGTAGCCAGTCACCTTAACCATTATCCATCCATCCATTTTTACATCCATCCATTTTTACATCCATCCATTTTTACATCCATCCATCCATTCTTACATCCATCCATCCATTTTTACATCCATCCATTTATTTATCATGCATTTGTTCCATCATAAAGCACTTAAAAAACATTCAAGGATCAGTGTGAGAATGACGAGTATTTCTCTAATTGATACATGTTTTTCATACATGTTTCATTCTTTCATGTTATTGCACTTTGTGCTATTTTATTACTTTATTACAGAATAGAGCATGTTAACAGCTGTATTATTTGTTAAGTATCATTTGCTTAGCTTATATGTGTACCTGTATTTTATGTGAAATGATCATCCTCCAAAAGTCATCTACAGTGTTAGGTAATGGTCCCTGTGCTGTTAGATAAACAACTTCATTTGTTGGGCCCTGTCAAAACAATCATGCATCACAACACAATTTATTATAAGACACTGTAATATACATTTATCAATGAGGCATATGCTATTCAAAGATTACTAAGCATGTTTCAAAAGAAAGCACTTTAAATTAACAATCATAAACTCTTTAAGTGACATATATTTTACCTTAATATAATTTCCATTGATATAATCAGATCCTTCAATTCCATTGTTTTCTGGCAAAATGATCCGAGTATAATCATCTGAAAAACAATGCACAAATAGGAAGTCAATGCACCATACTACACAAAATAATGGGAGGTTCTTGTGTAGCGCATTTATATAACGTCTCAGTGCGCTTTACATTAATGACCAGTGGAGGACTTTACAGGCTGCATATTAAAGTAGCAGCCGTGCAGCTTACAATCATGAGTGATTTGTTAGTACATTAGTGTTATTCCTCCAAATTGGAATAGGCTGTTGAACCAGGACACAATCCCTACTTTTACACGAATAATTCAACAGGTTCTTTTAAGTCCCCCATTTTACTGCAGGTTTAGAAGGGTTGTGAGACAGGGCCTATGGTTTAAAGTCCTTGTCCGAGAAGACTTGAAGGTCTAACCATTTCCAAATGTAATTACAAAGGCAGCACCTTCTCCTCAGTTATTTTAAGACCCTGAGTTTTGGTCCAGCTGAGGCTTGAACCACAACCTTCCGCACAACAGACCGATGCTCTTACCAACTGAGCTAACCGGGTGGCTGTCAGTTGAAACCAAACTGTTCCACTGAATCCAAGATGGCCACCGTATCGATAACAAGGTTTATTTCAATATTATAAATTATCTGTCAGGACAAACTTATGACAGAAGTTACAAAACTGACTATGATTTATTGGATGAAAATGAATTCAATTTAATTAGCCCATCAATTAAAGTTAAGTGAAAAATGAACATTTTATGGAATAGTTAGAATGGACTTGACATTGACATTTCATTTATGCAGCGTTCAAAAAAAAAATTTATTGGAGACTCAGATGCATGACCAATGAAACATTTGTGTGGACAACATGTAGATAGAATGCCAGTATCATAAGTACACGCCCACTGACCACCAACTTGTCGTATCACAATCACTATACATGTAATTACAGACAATTGCATTGTCAGCATCATATATAGTTTTAATTCCTACACCTCAGCCCTGCTTTGCTTTTTAAGGATAAACATTGGTGTAAGAAAAAGAGTAGACACTTCACTTGATCTCACATTATTTTGGCATGTTGGTATTATAGTGGTAAAACATTCACAGCTGTGGCTTTTAAGGTTTCTGTTTCAATGCCACATCCCTGATCCTCCTCATTCCTCTCCCGACCCTTTACAACAATCTATATGTACTTGTATGAATGGAGTACCAACCAATATCATAAAACACCCACAAAACCCTGTGGAATAGTCTAAATGTACACAGAGCACTTCTATGAAAAGGAAATTATATGTATCACAACCTACAAGGTAAAATGTCTTTGTATCTGTTTTTTGTACGATTAGTTTCTTTTTCTCCATGCTTGGTTGAAAAGCTTGGATCCTTCTTAAGTCTAGAAGTTAAATCCTTTATTTCCTAAAAAATAAACATTACATGGTTACTACGGTGTATGCAAGTGGTATACAAGAATTATTACATTATTACATGCACAACTTGTGTTTAATCATTTATCTGGCCTATCTATAACCGTATAAGAGTAGAATGCTAATGGCTTGGTGCTTTATCAATCAGTGTTCAATATTGTTTCATTTCCTGTGTAATTATGCTAATAATATATTAAGCAATTTAAATCAGGAACACGATATATTGATACATAAAACTTTTTGACTAATTTTTTTTGTCATTAATCGTAAGCTTTAACCAAAAATACAAAGAAACCCCACAAGAATTTTTCCCGTGTAAGAAATTGAAAGATTCCGATAGTTTCGTACTATAATCTACGCCCCAAAAAATAATTGACTTGATCTCGCGAAATGAATAAATATGCTATCCGGTTCATGATGGAAATGAATATTATATGAGGACTTATTCTGATAAATAGGAGAAAAATATGTCACTACTATAAATAAACTTATCTTCAAGCTCATTCTGGAAGCAGCTTGTTATGATTTCTGATCTACGAAATATCTCTCAACCTTATAAATATCTTTCAGTTCGTTTGATCAACACTTTTAAAAAAAACTATGATTTCAAAGGTATAAATTTTCTATACCAGACAGTTACATAGCTAGTAGATACCTGAAATTCTTTAGCAAAGCCATTTTCTCTTCGGGGATTGTTATTGGGATGCAATGTTTCGGCGTGTTGCAGGAATCTCTTCAATCCTTCGATTGCCGTTGGACTTAACATTATTTATCCAGGCCCGTAACTCACAAATCTTCCTAATGCGTTCAGTAGTAGGTACTAAACATATTCCCTTCTCAATGTAGTAAGTCTGAGTGTTTTTAACATGTTCTTTGAATTATTAGACAGATTTCAGTTCTTGCAGGAAGTTACTTGGCTTTCAACTAACATATATAACATCCTTAATTGTTATGCGCAGTAGACCTTCTACCCATCAACCCTTGCATCTGGCCGGAAGTAACCTGATCCTATATAAATTTTATTACATATATGATTTGACAGGCTATCTAGTTTGCTGTAAAACACTAAGCCTATGGATAGCCAGTTAACCAACAACAACAAAAAACACACACACATACACAGCAAATAATACGTAATAAAAGCTTTCCAATTATTAGATATATTTTTATGTATCTAGTCACCAGTGTCTCTCCTGTATTCACAGGAAAGTAGCCTGGTAATAATAAATATCAAGGAGCCATTGTCGTTGTGATATTGGATAAAAATATCAACCAAAAACCTAACAAAATCGTCTAGAAATCTTTAGAAACATGGTATGACTGATAATAAACGGTGAGTATAAGCAGTTAGAACATTATTAGCCAAGTATAAAATGAAAATACGACTAATGATTAGGCTTGTTCAGATAGCAACGACTTTAAATACTGTTGAATACTTCTGCTATGTCGTCGCAGCGCTAGCGATGTACCCAGGCTCAATGTTTTCAGGTCTAAGTAAAAACAAGTTTGTTCCTTTCCTTATTACTAGTTAATTAAATCATACACTTGGTGTACGTTAAGACTCTCCTGTAGTAACTTTTACGAGTTAGTTGAGAATTGAGTGTAGGGTCACGTGACCTGTTAGTGAACCCAGCATTTATCATGTAGTAGAGTTTATTGGGTCTCCCTCTTTTGGAGGTTTTTCTCAGCATTTTGCATTTTCCCTCCATTCCTTCTTTTAAATTTGAACACGCTAATTTCAGCTTGTGAGTTAGCCATTCCCTCACTTCAGCAAAGAGGAAGCCCCTATAAAGAATCTCTTTTTGATGTCACATCCTCACTCGTTTGTATCAAGGAGAACATTGAGAGAAATTCTAGAGAAAAATGTTTGTGCATGCATGCATTTCAGCACTTTTTCTAAGAAATTTGGAAAGTTTGAGTGAGAATAAAATGTTTGTTTTCTCCAAGTATAGAGGCTGCGCACCATCACGTGATTGCAGCCATGACAGGAGGCACAATCTTTCAGAATCTTTCTCCCCGGGGAAACTTAATTCTTTCTTGTGTAAATCAGATTAGACCAGATTCAATTGTTACTGCCTCCTGTCATGGCTGCCATCATGTGATGGCACAATCCCTCTATACAAAAAAGTTCGCCAGTATACTTTTGTCAGACAAAGATACTGTATAACCAAACACAATATGAAAGAATTAGCTTTAAGTTTCAAGTGCGGACACTAAGTTTTGGCATTTTGGTGAAGTCCAATTTATCAGGCATGTTTGAAAGTCAAATTTACATGTGTTTTGACTAATTTGCATATGGATTAAGTGCATGTTCAGACGTTTTTCACTGGTGTCGAACTTTGTATTGACCTTGAATACAAAAAATAATTAAAGTCGATTTTTTCCCTGATTTTATTTTCACCTTTTACTTTTATTGAAATTTGGCTCCCTTGTGCTTAGATCAGTGATCTTATATTGCAATGATTTTGAGTTCCCAATCTAGGCAATCAAATGTAATTGTTGTATTTTTATTATCAAATTAAGCATGCAACTACGTTGCAAAAAAGATTGGCAACTTGGTTTCACGTAACGATGCAAGTTCCCAAGAACAGTCAAAGCAGAAAGAGCTTGCACCAGCGTACGTATGTCCTCTGAACCAAGAGGTGAAAAATGAGGGTGTCCTGACTAAAAAGAGTGAAGGAAATGTCCGCACACATGGGACTGAAAATGGAAGTTTCAAACAAGATGGCACTGGCATAAATACACTTTAACACTACAGATCTACATGTATGAGTACAACAAAGAGTAGTTAGATATACCTAAGTCCTGTCTTTATGAAAACTTGCATCCAAAACTCTTTATTAAATAAGTGTTGATGCAAGTTGGATGTGTTCCCACAGTTTGGCATGTCTTACGATTCTGCTGTTGTAACCAAGGCAACGATAATTTTAAGTACATTAATTATAATAAATCGTATTATGACAGTACATCATTGTAATGGCATCTAGAATAACATCTCATAGTCCTGTGAAAATATATGATAGAATTACTGTTGGAATCGCTTGCATATATTGCATCCATTTTGCACAAACAGCAAATAGTGGGATACCATCGTGTCACACAACAGATGTAGTTGCGTAGGACATACGTGTTACACAAAAGATCTAGTTGGTAGGACATACATTTCACACAACAGATCCGGTTGCGTAGGACATACGTGTTACACAAAAAAATCCAGTTTCGTAGGCATACGTTACACATAAGATCTAGTTGCGTAGGACACAATTGTTTTCACAGGGTCGTAATGGGCTTCCTGTGTCATCATTGTTGCGTATGTTCGTTCTGATTTCGAATTATCCAAGGTTTTCCAGCCGTTTGTTCAATAAATATATGATATATTAGTTATTTTTTTTCCCATGCGTCTTATTGCGATTTTTCGATGTTTGAAGTGATTTATGTTTGCTGTTCCCTTACACTGAAATTTATTGAAGAAATAAATAACGCGTGCGCGTGCTGTGTGCAATATGTTCCTTCCAAGAATGATTTTGGTCCATAACTCCTGACCGTTTGCAGATTATGGCCATTGACCTGCATGAACAGTGATTATATTGAATGGAACAAGTCGCTGATGAGTAACTTTCAGCATCATCTTAGTTTTGTCGAAATTCAAAGTTTGACGCGCAGTCAACAGATTATATTACCTAGCGTATAAATTATGCTTGATAGTGGCAACTGATTTATAGGCAATGAAAATAATTAAGAAGCGTATCATTAGCATATAACTCTAAATTGCAGAAATTGATAGAGGGTGATCATACATCGTCGTGAATAATATGGAAGCTGATTGATTGTTCGATCGTTTATGGGATGTTATTGGGCAAACCCTGAATACGACTGCTGATATCTGGCCGAGTCTGTCAGTAATTCATTCAATTTGATTCAGCATACAGCGTGCGTAGAAAATAATAGTGGAGATTAAGAGATCGTTACAGGAAGCCAAGGCGGTCTTTTTAATGATAATAAAGGTGATCGAAGTCCCGCCTAATAGCTCAGCACCAACGTGCCACTGATCCATTACTACATTAAACCAGTCTGCTAAGTGACTAAATGAACTTGGTTCCGGCATGTTTTTTTTATAATCCGCATTACATTGCATTATTGTTCTTAACTTTTTTTGTGTGAATGTATCAAATTTCCGCATTAAATGGATTTTATTGAAGGGTAAGGGTAGCAGGTTCACATTAGACTTCTCAATCTCATGTTTGAACATAATGGAATAACTTGTTTCGTGTTTCGGCAAGATGGCTCAATATGTCGTTCTGTTTAGCTTATATCTTATTTTCCGCTTCATTTTTTCTCTTGCTGTCCCTTTTTGATGATACTGCTGCTACTGATATGCTGCTGATGCCGCTGTCGTTGATGCTGTTGCTGTTGATGCTGTTGTTGTTGCTGCTGCTGTTGTTGATGCTGTTGTTGATG